ACCTCTCGGCCTCGCGTGTGGCGTCATGTGGTGTCACACTCTGGACGGAGACCTAGGGTGGGTGTGTCATGTCGCAGTGGCACCTGTGGTGCCCTGGTGGCTCAGAGCTGAGATGTCACAGGGGAGCGGTGGGTCAGCTCCAGTGCCGACCGTGGGATGTTTAAAAAATATGTATCGCGTTTAAAATGTGAGGTTTCGGTGTCGTAGGTTTAAAGTGAAAAAGGTGTCATGGTTCCGTCGGCTCCAAGAGCCTGTTCGGCACGGAGGGGGCCCCTGCGTGACAGGCACTGGCCGCGGCGTCACGGTGCGCGCCGTCGTGGGAAACGCACGGCAGGCTTCCCGGAGGAGGGGGCGGCGTGACCGGCTGAGCTGCTGGGCGTTTCGAGCCTGTTCCGACCAAGCCTGGTCCTGGTCCCGACCAAGACCAGAGTCTGCAGGAGGTGCCTGGGAGCATGAGCGAAAAGGGGTGACCTCTTCCCTTTTCTCTCCCCACCCCATAAAACAAAGAAATTGCCCCGGACTGACTTCCCACCAGCGGAAGCCGAGAAACGGGGAAGTGCAGCCCCAGGTAGGCGCGCCGGCCTCCGCCGGAGCCTTCCGCCCGGCCGGGCCCTGTCTGCACCGGGCCCCAGGCCACTCCCCCACCTGCCGGACCCCGAATGAGCAGCCCTGGGACCCCAATCGATGCTGGCTGCGCTTGGGGCCTCGCATCTGCCTGCTGGGCTGGGGGTTCTGGGTTCCCCGTCTGGCTGGCTGATGCCCCCACCTCCGTGAGGCCTGGCAGGACCCTCGAGCAGCCCCGGCCTTGGCTGGTTACGGAGCCTCCCGCTGGCCCTGCCCCACTTGCCAGGTGTGTGTTCCTGGACAGATGCGCGTCCGGCGGCCAGGTGCGCCTCCGTCAGACGGTGCGCTCTGCCAGGGCAGGGCAGGTGCTGCAGACCTGGCGCCCTCACGCTGTGAGCTTTGCTTTCTCTCAGGTGTGCACCTCGCTCGTCAGTGGTTCTATGACTGACCGGCTGTGGGGCTCAGGACACTTCCGTTTTTGGGGCCACAGCTGCTGAAGAGCGGCCGGGCGGGCGCCGGCCGAGGGGCGGCCTGGCTCCGCGATGCTGCGTCTCCCCGCCCTCCTCAGACTCCGGAGTAGGCTCCGTGCGTCCTCAGCGTTCCCACAGCAACAGCTATGTGAGGTCAGCATTATTTCAGATTCCTTTTCTCTTCCGTGTACAAGCAACTTTCTCCCTGATGGAATTAGCATGGTTTTCTTACTGCGAAATCTCTGTGAAGTACGCGAGTGAGTTTTAAGCTGCCCTGGTTGAGCACAACTTTCACGGAGTTTGCTGTGGAGACGCAGTCCTGTGAGGCCGCCGTCACCCACGCAGGGGCACGGGGCCTCCTGTTCGTCCCAGGGCTCCGCCCGACTCTGAGGGTCCGTGTTCCCGGCCAGCGAATGTGCTTGTTCACAGGGCACACCAGTCGGTGAAGTCTGCGCCGACGCGTTTGGCTCCGGTGCCCGAGGCTCTGGCCCGTCCATCGTGGGGCCGGGAACCGGCGGCCACTCCAAGGGACTCGGGCATGAAACTGGTGTCTCGACTTTAAACGGTCCAGGTCCTCGATTCGAAGCCTGCTGTGGCCCCTCCCTGAACGTCAGCTTTATCTGAGTCTGTAAAGCCAGGTGTGGGGGACGGTTTTGGCCGCTGTCCCCGAAAGGCTGACCCAGGATGGAAGCGGCACATCTGCCTCTGCCTTCGGGTCTGGGGCCAGTCGGGCGGAGGTGTGGACCGTGCCGCAGTGAGGGGTGAGTGCAGCGGGAGGTCCCTGGGGCCTCGGCGGCTGTGGTGGCGTCTCTGTCACGCCGGGCGCCAGCAGCAGGAGGAGCGGAAGGGGCAGTGGCAGTGGGAGCCCCTTCCGCTCTCTGGCCTCCTGTCCCAGCCCGTGGAACGCGAGGCAGTGGCGGCTTCTGCACGGGGCCCTCGCGAGTGGTTCCCGCTGGCGTTTGACAGCCGAGGACTGGCGGAAGACGCTGCGTCGTGACGGATTTTAGGAAATAAAGGGCCGTCTGTGCGAGGCCGGGCGGAGTCCGCCCTCGACGTCCAGTCCCGTCGCCTGGACACGGGCTGTCCTTGCATGTGACGAGCCTAGGTCTCCACCATTAAACACGCCTTGGGTGACTAACCAGCGGGGAAGTGGGCAGTTACTAGGGAAAGTCACATGTCATAACGTCGTCATGCTCAGGGAGTCTCGGAGGTGAACGTGTCCCCAGAATTCAGTCATTAGAATCCTGACCCCCGGGCCTCAGAATGCCAGTTACTGTGGATGTAATTAGCTCTGGAGGAGGGTGGCCCTTCATCCAACGGGACCAGTCTCATAATAAGGGGACATTGGGACAGGTGTGTGCACAGGGAGGACACCGTGTGCCGGCAGAGGCGGAGATGGGGTGATGCGTCTGCAAGCCCAGGGCTGCCAAGGGTCGTTGCCACCAGCGGAAGCTGGGGAGGCAGGACACGGCCTCCCGTGGGGCTGGCAGGGGCAGCAGGCCTGCCGACACCCTGGTCTGGGACGGGGGCCTCCGGCTGTGCTAGGGCAGAGTGATGTGTTCCGGCCGCCTGGTGGGTGGCACTTTGTCCCTGGGGAGCTGATGCAGAAGCAGAGGGAGGGGCTGCGGCGGGCAGGGCGGGAGACGTCCCCGGATTCAGGGGCCCCCGGCTTCCCGCAGAGAGCCCGGAAGCGCCGGTGCCCTCGTGTGCCCCCCGCCCGGAAACGCCTGGGGCTGAGCCGGACGCAGGCCGACCTCCCCGTGGACGTGCGCGGGCGGCGGCGGCTCGGCATGCACTCTTCTTCGTGGCTTTAAGGACGTTCCTTCGAGGGCGCGGGACGGGGACACAGGTCGTCCAGCCCCCGGTTCCCGTCGGGGTGACAGAGCCCCTCCGACTGCTCGCGGGCGCTTTCCCGGTCCCTGGACCGTCTGCCGCGTGCGCGTGCGCGTGCGCCGTGTGCCTGACTCTCCGCTTCTCCCCCGCAGGGTCTGTAGAAGAGGTGACCGCGGACTCCCGATGAACGACCGGAAGGAAGATATGGAAATCGCGTCCCACTACCGGCACCTGCTGCGTGAGCTGGACGAGCAGAGGCAGCACGGCGTCCTGTGTGACGCGTGTGTGGTCGTGGAGGGCAAGGTCTTCAAGGCGCACAAGAACGTCCTGCTCGGCAGCAGCCGCTACTTCAAGACGCTGTACTGCCAGGTGCAGAAGACGGCCGACCAGGCCACGGTCACGCACCTGGACATCGTCACGGCCCAGGGCTTCAAGGCCATCATCGACTTCATGTACTCCGCCCACCTGGCCCTCACCAGCAGGAACGTCATCGAGGTGATGTCCGCCGCCAGCTTCCTGCAGATGACGGACATCGTGCAGGCGTGCCACGACTTCATCAAGGCCGCGCTGGACATCAGCATCAAGCCGGACGCCTCGGACGAGCTGGCCGAGTTCGAGGTGGGCGCCCCGTCGGGCAGCAGCACGGACGCGCTCATCTCGGCCGTGATGGCCGGAAGGAGCATCTCCCCGTGGCTGGCCCGGCGCACGAGCCCCACCAACTCGTCCGGGGACTCGGCCATCGCCAGCTGCCACGAGGGGGGCAGCAGCTACGGCAGGGAGGACCCGGAGCCCAAGGCCGACGGCTCCGACGACGTCTCCTCGCAGTCGCTGTGGCCGGGCGACGTGGGCTACGGGTCCCTGCGCGTCAAGGAGGAGCAGGCCTCGCCCACACACTACGCGGGGAGCGAGCCGCCCTCCGCCGGGGCCGGCGCGGCCCCGAACGCCTTCTCCGAGCAGGCCGCGGGGGACGGCTGGCAGCCCACGGGCCGGAGGAAGAACCGGAAGAACAAGGAGACGGTCCGGCACATCACTCAGCAGGTGGAGGCCGACAGCCGGGCCGGCTCCCCCGTGCCGTCCTTCCTTCCGACGTCCGGCTGGCCCTTCAGCAGCCGCGGCGACTCAAGTAAGCCTTCGGTTTGTGGCAGGTGGGGCGCGGCCGCTGCGGGGCGGGCGCCGTGGGCCCTGGGCTGCTCCTTTTGTCGCCGACGCGGCACGTTTCCGGCCGACGCCGGTGGCTTCCTGTGGGTCGCTTTTCACAGTAAATTGATGTGAGCGCAGGGAACGTGACCAGCATGTCCCAAGGGCCAGCGCAGTGCTGGTGCCTGGGGCGGGGCTTCTCTGGGACCGAGGGGGCTTAGCCAGAAACGTGGGTGACACCCGGAAGGAGCCCACAGGGTAGGTGTGAGGCCGGCTTCTCTGCAGAGCTTTTCACGCGTGCTGGTCGGGTGGATTAACTTTACGAGGTTTAAACGTTGAAAGTTTTAAGAGACGATGAAAATTAACGAAGCGCCGTGAATTAACGAAGCGCCGTGAAGGCGGGGTGGGGGAGGGGCGGGAGAGCGTCCTGCGGGCCTCACCTGGGCTGGGTCGTGATGGTGAATGTGGAACGTGGCATCCTGTGCACCTGTTTCATCCCAGTGAGAAGTTGGCCTTAACCCCAGGGGCTTGAGGACTTAGGGCCATAAAGCGCCCCTCGCAATGAGGGGTGTCCCCCATTTGCCAGCATGTGCGGGTTCCAACAGTTCAAAGCAGTGGAGGTGCTGCTCTCCCCCCGCGTCTGGGCCTCTCAGATCCTAGCCGAGGGGAGCTTCTTGTATCTGCCGCGCAGCCTAGTAAACGGCACGTTAAACCTTGACCGCCCGCCGGGGGCTCAGCACGCGGCAACCACAGCCACGCTGAGCCTTCCCGAGTGGCGGATGGGGCAGTGAGGGCCGCAGTGAGGGGTCGGGCCAGATCAGGGTGGCCCCTCCAGAAAGAAGGTGAGCAATCAACCGGGTGTGTGGGCAGGGGACAGAAGGCAGCATGCGGCCATCAGCCCTGAAAGAGGTCACGAAGGTGACCTGTGCCGTGTGCAGGGGGCACCCGCTCGCAGGGCCCCTGGAGCAGCCCCGACCTGCTCTCCTTAACGGGACGCATCCCCCAGGGCCCCGTGCACTGGAGCTTTTATTGTTGTCGTAAAACACACATGCCATAAACTTCACCCTTTTAACCATTTTTAAGTGTACGATTCCTTGGCGCTACGTGCGTTTACACTGTTGTGCAGCCGCCACTAAGATCCATTTCCAGAACTTTCCCCGGTCATCCCCAAACCGAGACCGTTCATTAGCTGTGCGGCCCCGGACGCAGCGGGGCCTGTGTCGTCCATTCTCGGTCTCAGTGCTGCTCCTGAGCACGGGGCGAGGCCAGCGCCCTCCATGGTCAGGAGGTGTCGCTGTGACCGGCGTCTCTCAGCCCGGGCTGGACACTGCCGTGGGGCTGTCCTGCGCCGTCGGCGGCGTCTCTGGCTTCTACGCACTGGACGCTGGTAGCAACCCCACCGCCCAGTGTGACAACCAAAAATGTCACCAGGCATTGCAGATGATCACGGCAGCAGCCTTCAGAGCCGTGGGACCCTAAGCGAGCCAAGTCCGAAGTCCCGGTGTCTGAACTGACAGCGTGACGAGCTGTGTCCCCTGCTGGCTGCTGGCCAGAGGCACGGTGGCGCCCCCGCCTGCCCCGGCTTCTCGGTCTCCCACCCGCTCTGACACCTGAGAAGCAGCGGTCCATGCCGCTGACGAGGACGGGGGCTCCGGGCCGAACTTCCCAAGGCGACCAGTGCCTTCACCGCTGTCATGAGTCACCGTCACCCACAGGCTGTGACGCGGGAGGCCTTGATTAGCAAGTCCATCGACACACTAAGAAATGTCGGCTGCTTGCGCCTGTGGGTTTGACGTTTTAAATGCAGTTGTCGAGCAGAAGGTGTTTTTAGAATCCAACAAGTGACTTTGGCTGTGTACTTTTGTTAATGTCTTGAAGCCCGCAGGTTGCCAAGGCAACCGAGAGCCGCTCCTGCCAGATCATCCGAGTTGCTAAGAGAGGACGGGAGGTTGTGGGCTCGCGGAGGATGGTGCTGCCGGCCTGGGCGGCCGCTCCCCCTCCGCCCTGGCCCGGGGCGGCTTTGGAGGTGCAGGGTGTGCTCCCCACTGGAGGTCCAAGCTGTGCTCCCCCTGGAGGTCAGGCTGCTACGTCCTGGAGAGCAGCTTTTATTCTCGTCCTGCATCTAGGCCCGCCTCCCGAGGGAACGTGTCGGGCAGTTCCCGCATGCGGTTCAGGGCGATGGATGTGGACCTTGGGACGTCTGGCCCTGCAGCTAGGGCCACCCGCCCTGACCCCTCTGTGTGTCCCCACCTCGGCTTGTGACTGGGGCCCATCAGTGTTTGGAGTGGGTTTTCCGGCCCAGCAGCTCCCGGGTGGAATTCGCGCGTGATCGCAGAGGCTGGTTTGCGAGGCCTGAGGGCACACTGTACGCACAGCTGGGGTGTGGGTCCGGCTCCCCCCGGGGGCGGCTGCATCGTCCCCGCGCCCGTGACCCCGGGGCGTCTTGGCCTTCGCTCAGGTGGGTGCGCAGCTCCTCGCTCAGAACCTGGCAGAGGAAGAGCCCAGGCCCCTGGTCCAACGCCCGCATGCGTCCCCCAGAGGCCTGCAGACAGGAAGTCCCGTAAGTCGAGTGGAAGCTGCAGGCTGGTAAAGTGGATGTTTGTAGCTGGACTGAGGTGGATCAGGACATGGGGCTTAAGGACACTCGGGGGCCATAGAGCACTTCAGGTGGGGGAGGGTGGCCTTCCTGGTTCCCAGCCTCCTCCCTGCTCGGAGATGGAGCAGGTGGCCCAGCCCCTCGGAGCCCGTCCCTGGAGCCGGAGGAGGAGCTGGCTGGCGGAAGGTCCGCAGCTGACGGCCTCAGGTGAGACCGTCAGACCTGGCCCAGGCGCTGTCCCTCAGGACACGGCCCGGGGACTCGTTTGGAGAAGCGGGAGCCTCGTGAATTTGAGTGGCCGTTGCCCACGCCCAGGGCCACCCGCGTCTTTCAGCACCGTCGTCACCGCTGGAGGGAAACCGTCTTGCTTCACATGACGTATATTTCGGGCGAAGGGGTCTGGATGAGAAGCGCCCCATGTGTCCGGCTGGGACTGGACCTGCCCGCAGGGGCAGCAGAGGACGCCCCGGCCCCACCCCGCGTGTCGGGCCCCGCGAGCAGCGTCTGACCCCGGGCCGGCCGTTCGCGGCCTCGGTTCGGCCGGCCGAGGATGGGAAACAGGGTTGGGAAGCCCCTCGGCTGGGAGTGTGAAACCCTGTTTTCGGTTCGAGCGGGTTCAGTGCTCCGGTCTGTAACCCGCGGGCCGAAGGGCTGACTGCGTTTATCGGGAAAACCCGCTGGAGTGGACGCGCGCCGTCCCAACCTGCCTCGTTCGCTCAGGCGTCAGCTGCGTCTGCTTCACGACGCGTTGTCGGGCCGTTGTCCAAAACCCACCTCGCTCCCTGAGCGTCTCACAGTCAGTGGCCGACGCCTGTACCCTCCGTCCCCAAACGCTCACCGGGCGTTTGCTCGAGTTCAACCAGCGATTACGTTTTTAAGGTCAGTTCTCACACCGGGACTCTGCCACCCCCAAATGTGCCTTTCGATGATAAGGTTTGGTGAATGCACACAGCCGAACCGCTGCCCCCTCCGCCTCTGGCCGTGGGTCTGTGCTCCCCCCCCCCGAGGACCAGAGTCTGGCTTTTCCGTCACAGGGCGACTCGGCCCGTTTAGCGCTTCGTCCGGCGTCACCGTGCGCTTGTGCCGTCGCGTCTCCCGGTGGCCCACACCTTCGGGGATGTGGTGTGTGTTCTGTCGCCCGAACACACCAGTGTGTGTTTGTCCAGCCTCTTGTCAGCCGGCATCTGGGCTGTTGCCAGCTTTCACGATTATGAATGAAGCTTCTGTGACTCTTTCTGGCGGGTCTATTCTGGCGACGTATGGCGACGTACATGTTCGTTTGTCTTGAGTAGATGCCCAGGGGTGCGGTGCCTGGGTCAGCGGCGAGGGCAGACTTCTTCCCAAGTGGTCACGAGCACCCCCAACAACCTGAGCAGAGTCCAGGCTGCTGCACGCTCCGCAGCCGAGCGTGTTGTCCGTCATTATAGTTTTAAGCACTCCAGTGGCTGAGTTTGGACAAATGCATAACACTCCTGCCCTCGGGAGAGAGACCAGGTCCACCAGCGGGCATGTTCCCTCCTGCCCTTCCAGTCAGACCCGCACCACCCACCCCCCGCCCCGTGACCCCGAAACAGCCCTGCCTGGCTCTCGTCACCAGAGCGGCCAGCTCGGGGGCCGTAAGCAGAGAGCAGCATCACACAGAGCTGCGCCGTGTCCGGCTCACTTCACTCTGCTTCTCTTCTTTCCGTTTCGAGGTGTCTGTCAGAGGTGGCAGCGAGGCCCTGTGTACCCCTTACGCTGTCACCCGCAATGGCAGCATCTTGCTCGTCACAGGCAGCGCCACAGCCGGGGTACAGCCTGCAGCCTGAGCCCCCAGCCACGGCGTCACTGCCACCGAGGGCCCCGGTCGCCTCCTCCCCCCGCGCCGGCAGCCACGGCTCCGTCCCACGTCTGTGATTTCCAACCTGCTTTTGAGTTTCATTCACGCTGTCGTGGGCATCGATAAGTCACCCTTTAACTGCCAAGGACCATCCCGTTCTGTGCCCAAAACAGTTTGTTTATTTGCTCAGCTGTCGATGGACATTTGGTTATTTCGGGGCTTTTTGGCCACTGAGGATAACGCTGCTGTGGACGACCAGTCTCCGTGTGGACGTGTGTTCTGGTCCCTCTCAGGTCCAGGCTCCGGAGTGGAGGGCTGGGCCGCCTCCGGACGCGGTGGATCTGGACAGGCCGTCCAGCTTCCTGGCTCCGTGTCCTGGGCCCGCGGCCGCCTCCCTGGCCATGAAGTCCCGCCATCAGGGACCCATGTGGACATGGGCGTTCGAGCAAAAACCGTGTTCCGGGTGGACCGTGCGTCCTGAGGGTCACGTCGGTGAAGCGCAGCCGTGCCGTGCTGACCCCGGCACCGTCCCTCGGGCTCTGTTAAACGGCCGTAGCTTTTCTGTAACGGTCATAGGAGCCCACTTTGTGGCGTTGCACGTCAAACTCTCATCTGCCCACGGATTAGTCGCAATGTAAATATCACTTTCGACTTCCTATTCTGTTTGCAGAATTTTGTTCATTACGCTGTCGTCTTAAATTCCTCTTTCTGAATTCAAGCTGCGGTCGAGACAGACCCGGGAAGGCCAGAGCTTCTGCATTTGCTCTCCCGGAGCAGGGTTTGGCGGAGTCCCCGCCAGCCACCCCTCTGTCCCGGGAGTGTCCAGGGCCCGCCCCAGACGTGGTCCTTTCTGGGCACTTTCCCTCTGCCTTCTCACTTGAGGAGGAGCGAACTCCGGAAGGACCAGCCCGGCCTCCGCTTCCAAAAGCGAACGCGGGAGCAGAGACGGCAGCTCGTCTCGTGGGGGCCGGGGCGTCGCGGGGCGCGGGGGTGAGTCTCCCTCAGCCGTGGCAGCTGCAGCCTGGGCCGGCACGGGAGGTCGTTTTAACGTGAGGAGGGGCCCTGCGCGTCATTCCCAGAGACCGTGTGGCTCTCCTTTCCTTGCGGCTGGACCGCAGGGGTGGGGCCGTCTCCCGTTTTGTCACAGAACGCTGCGGGGGCATAGGTCATAGGTCATGAGTGGAGCGCCGCCTCTTCCCTCTAGGCTGCCGTGCGCCCGCCCTTCTGTGTGTGGAAGTCATGATGCCGAAGGTGGTTTCACAGGTGGCCTCGGGTCTGGTCCCCAGCCTGGAGCCTGAAGCCGGCTCTGAGCCGAGTCCCCGCCCAAGGCCTTGGCCGTGAGGTCACCGCATCCCGGGGGCTTGTGCGGGCAGGACCGGTGGGACCTCATGAGCAGCTGGGTGGTCAGGGTGTGGCCCCGGCTCCTCAGTCTGCCCCTCCCCGTCCTGGAGGGCCCCGAAATGATCTCCTGTCTCTTTCCTCCGCAGACGTGGACCTGGCCGTCACCGAGGCCGGCAGCTCCGACAGCCGCGGGGAGAGGGCCGACCTCTATGCCCATGGGGACGAAGGCCTCCTGGGTGGAGAAGCCAGCTACCTGGGCCCGCCCCTCACCCCCGAGAAGGACGACGCCCTGCAGCAGGCCACCACGGTGGCCAACCTGCGGGCCGCGCTCATGAGTAAGAACAGCCTGCTGTCGCTGAAGGCCGACGTGCTGGGGGATGACAGCTCCCTCCTGCTGGAGTACCTGCCCAAAGGCGCGCACTCCCTGTCCCGTAAGTGCCCTGCCGCCGGCGGGGAGGACGCAGCCGCGTCAGGCGAGGGGAGCGTGTGGGTCGGCCATCGGCTGTGGGCTGGGCGCAGGTCTGTCAGGGAGGTCACGGGGCGCGCGTGCTGGTGCCCGGAGCTGGAAGGCAGTGGACGTGGGCCGTCAGGGTGACGGGGAGGGGACAGCGTGCTTGTTCGACCTCTCAGGCTTGACCCTGGGGTTACTAAACCTGCAACCTGACCGAGCTGAGGGCCGGCAGTGGGCAGGCCAGGGACGCAGAGCCCTGCGTGAGTCAGGACACTCTGGCAAGGGGCACAGAGCCTCCGTGCAGAGGGCAGGCCAGCTCTCTCTGGGGGCGCCCGTCCCCTCTTCACACTGTGACCCGCCGTGTGGGGAGAGATTTGAGGGGCTTTCATCTCCTCGCTGTGTCCCCCTGGACAATGCTGGTGGTGCAAATGGTTAGCGGTGGACGCCGTGCCCACAACCTAAATGTGTCCAGCCTCGCTCTGGCCGCCCACCCAGGAAGTGGGCTCCCTTGTGATGTCCCGCCCACAAAACACGAGAGCATGTAGCTTTCACACCCACCTGTCCGCCAGCCTGAGAGCGAGCTGCTTTCCCGTGTCGTGGGTGCTCTGGGGGGGAGCTCTGGGGAGCTGTCTGGGGACGCTGCTAGAGGAGACTCTGAGTGTGTCCCCAGGGAGAAGCCCCCGCTTTGTGGGCAGCTGTGCTCAGTGCAGGCATCAGAGGGACGAGGCGTGGCCCAGGTCTCCCTGGGGGGCACGGGGACGCAGTGTATAGAGCCTGCGGGGCGCTACACCCCAGGTGGCTCTGGGGTCAGTGCGTGGGGGGCATCACGTGGGGCGCTTTGCTGAGCGCCGCAGGGCGAGCTGAACCACGGGCTGCCCGTGTGCTGGACGCCGGGGATCTGGGGTGCGTAGCTTTCCCTTAACCTTCACTTCAGAAAACGACCTTTTAACCTCTTTGTTTTCGTGAGCACTAAATTATTTAAGCTTTTGTGTCGGAGCGATGGAAGTTGCTCATGGCTGACAAAGACCAAAGTTGGAAAGTAACGTTCACGTCCCCTTCGTCACCGTGTGCCGGACCAAGACCTACTGCCACCGTCTGAGGCAGGCCGGACGCTCGGCCGGTCGTGAGGACGTGGCTGTGTGGTCAGACCAAGGCTGTCGGGTGGTGCGTGTGCTTCTAGAAACAGGTTGAGGCCTCGCTTCCCGCCTCTGGAAAACGGGTCCCGTCACTTACGCAGCTGCTGTGAATTCGAAACAGTCGCATTTGTAAGACGTGGAGCGGTCGAAGTTCCCGCAGCACGTGCCAGGTGCTCCAAGTGGCAGCCCCTCCCCCACTGGGCAATGGCTGCGTGTGGCAGAAGTTGTCGGGTACGTGCTGATCCCCGACCCCCGGACGGCCAACGACGGTGCTTCCGGGGCGTCTGGGGTTTGCGACAGGCAAGTCCAGCAGCTGGATGTGCAGCCGAGAGACTGGACAGGTTTTGTGAGGGACGAAGAAGGGCCGGGATGGGTGACGCCGGGGCCTTTGGCCGTGGAGAGGGCGGGGCGTCCGGCACCTTCGCCTCCGATGGCTCCCGCCGTCCCCCGTGGGCCTGGCCACTCCCGCCGTCCCCCGTGGGCCTGGACACTCCCGCTGTCCCCCGTGGGCCTGGCCACTCCCGCCGTCCCCCGTGGGCCTGGACACTCCCGCTGTCCCCCGTGGGCCTGGCCACTCCCGCCGTCCCCCGTGGGCCTGGCCACTCCCCGCCGTCCCCCGTGGTCCTGGACACTCCCGCCGTCCCCCGTGGGCCTGGCCACTCATCCCATCTCTCTAGCTGCTCCTGACACAGACACGGCCTGTTGCGGACTTGGAGGCACCAGCTCTGTGCTGCCCCCGCGTGGCTGATCCGCATCCGTCACGAGGCGTGAGGGCCGGGCAATGGCTCCCTGGTGCTTCTCTGCCCCTGGCGTCCGGCAGCCGGGGCTTGTCCGAAGGCGTTTGCTGCATCTGTGCAGGAACCATGCTGGGGCCGGGGCTCAGGGCTCCGACAGCCCCTAAACGCCGATCCCACCGCCTCTGGTCAGGCAGCGCGACCTGTGTGCCGTGTGTCTGACTCGGGGGCACTGTGAGCACCACACGGCCAAGGGCAAAATGCGCTCTGTCGGCTGGTGCCCTGGGCAGTGTCTCCCTTGTGCCTCGGTCCCTCCGTCCTGGCGCCCAGCAGAGGCCCAGACCCCTCCTCACAGCGGGGCTCACACCCAGTAATGCCACCGGGCAGGTGGCCACCCTGTTTCCCATCAGGTCTTCGCGTTGTCCTGCGTGGTCACGGTGCACGGTGTAGTCGGTCCCCACGCCGGGGTGGGGTCGCCAGCGCCCGCTCTGCCATCACACACGTGTCCCCACGGCTTAGAGGGAGCCGAGCGCTGGGGCGGGAAGTGCCACCCCTTCCGCGTCGAGCACCGTGACTGATTCAGGGGGAGTCGGCGACCGGGTCTGGTACTTGTTGTTTGTCACGTTTTAGTCTCTTTGCTTCCGAGTTCTGAGTTCACCCCTCTTCTAGTGAGAGTCTGCCCCCCGTGTCCCGTAACGGGTGAGCAGCTGGCAGAAGCCCCCGCCGGGCGGGCTGCAGGCTGACCACTGGGCTGCAGCGGACGGGACACCTGCTCAGCAGGCCGTAGGAGCTGGCGGTTATTTTAAAACATTATTTTCTGACATTCTCAGTAAAGCCTGCCTCTTTCCAGGCACGGGCTAAAATGAGAAATGAAAACACCCAGAAGAAAACATGATTTTTCTGGAATTCTGGGGTTCTCCCTCACCATAGCAGTTGGGTGGCCTTGGGGAAGCCAGGCGGACGCAGGCCGTGACTGTGGCCGGTACGGCATGTGCCAGCCAGCGGCGGTGCACCTTCTTGGTGGAGGAGAGGAGGGTTGCCGAACAGTGGCATTCGACGTCCACGTGTGTGGCATCTGCCCCCAGACATGCTGCCGCGGGCGTCGGGGCCCCGAACTCTCCCCAGCCCCCCGTCCACCGCCTCCTGTCTCTGGGCCGGCCACCACTGGCGGCACGTTTTGCGATCCGTGAAGATGCTGTGAACACAACCCGGCCACCTGCTGGGCATGGGCTGCGCTGTGCCCTGGGCCCCTCACCCACTGCGTCCAGGAGGGACCCTCTTCCCGGGGGCTACAGATGTGCCCGAGCCCCCAGGTCCCCCGTGGCGGCTGTGGTGTCGTGTCCTCCGGACTGTCAGCCTGATGTGCACGGGGCGTGTGCACGGAAGGGGCCCCGCGCACGTTTGCGAAGAGGACGGGTGGCCTCGAACCAGGCCTCACCGATGGCAGAGGCACCGCCACCCCGCTGCCCACTGCAGGAGCAGGGGGGGAGATGACACGTCCCCACGGGATGCGCCCCGCAGTCCCAGGCCTGTCCCCATGCGGGTCTGCTCGAGGGACACTGGTCTGGTGAGGGCAGATTTGCAAAAGAAAGAGAAAGAGGCTGCAGATGTTTGAGAGAACCATTAAACACGCAGGCTGTAAGTCGTAACCAACAGCCAGTGCTCAGAGGCCCTTTCTTGATGGTTCTGGAACCTTCTGGAAACAGTCTCCTCGTGTGCAGAAGTCTGAATTCGCGGGTGATCTCGTGCCCGGATCCTGGCACTTCCGCTGACTCCTCCCTGAGGGGACTCTGTGTTCTCCGTTTCGATTCTGTTTGACTTGATTCTTTCTGTTCTGCTGCCTTTTCCGGCGGCAGGCGGGGGTCCGGCCTGCTCACCGCTGTTCGCCGAGTGGACGCCGTGGATGCGTCGTTTGTGCACGAGGGGTCGTATCTGGGTGGGCGGCGGCGGGGTGGGACCGTGACCCGCGCGTCTGTGCCTTCTTGGGCTCTTGGAAGTGTCATGAGGACAGGGGGTCCCTGCATGGTTTTGGGGGAGCACACTGGAGAGGAACCGGCCCGCATGGGCCCCAGAGGCCGAGCGCCGTGGGGACAACGAGGACCCCCTGCGGCGTGGACGAGCGGATGCACCGAGTTCCTGTGAGCCTGGGGCGGTGGCCTCTGGGGCGGTGGCCCCGTGTCCCAGGCATGAGGTGAGAGTGGCTGCCACTGATTTTCATTCTGGCTGAGGTGGTTAAGTAAGGAGTCAGGGACGCGAGTCCTTCTGGACGGAGGGTGGACGCTGCGGTTCCAAACACTTTCCTGTGAAAGAGTCTGATGAGGTGACTGCACGTTTAGACCAACGGCCAGCCTGCCGCCCCCCGCCGGGCCCTTGCTTGCCCCTCGAGGCCGCGGGGCGCGTGCTCCCTGCCCTCACGGCGGTCCGGACTTTCTGGGCAGCAGCCCTCGTTGTGTCCTTGTGCCTCAGAGACCCCCAGCCCGGGCGGGTCTCGTGTGGAGACCCCGGCACCTCGTGTGGGGGTGGCAAGCTGGTGAAAGACCCCAGACGGCCAGGTCCAGCGAGACCGGGCTTTGTCAGGTGGCACTCGCTCACTGCCGGAAGGTCAAGGATGACGTTTCCAGGATGTTTCTGCTCGTTCCGTGGCTGAGACCATTTCCTGCATTCCCAGGCCTGGTGGCAGCCCAGGGCACAGGGGGAGCGTGAGGGCACAGTGGCCCTCAGCCTAGGATGCCACCCCGGTGACCAGCCAGGCCGAGGACAGCGCCAGCCCAGGTGGGACGTGTGCACGGCCACCCGGCCAGATCAGCTGTCCGGCCCAGTCCCACAAGTGCTCGGTGGGTCCGGGCGTGTGACCAGCTCTGTGAGAGCCACTGCTTCCCACGCTGCCCCCTCCCGACGCCCAGCCCAGCGGGTCGGAGGGGACCGTGGGGTTAGCCGGCTCACCTTCTGCAATGACAGCGTGCCACATGGAGTGCGATTGGTTTTCATATTTATATGGAAATGCCACTCTGAGGAATTCACTCAGGGGAAAGACGTGTGAGTCACGCAGCATCAGGTAAAGGCACCGGTCCCTGGCCGAGTGGCAGGCGGTGCTGGGCCACATGCGTCCC